GTGTTTCATGTTGCATGACGGTACATGACCGTGTGTTGACTTGACTGACTTGATGTTCTCCTCGGGGCCGAGGATGGTGTAGCCGAGTGGGGAGTTCTGCACAGCACAGCAGCACAGACAAGCAATTCGTCGTGTGAGCAACACAAATCAAAGATGCACAGCTACAGCAGCCGCTGTGGAACGGTTACACTGACCACTTTTTTGTCCTCTCACCACCACCGCGCTAATGGCTGTGCGACTGACAGACCTGGAAGGCGGTGGCGTGGAGATAGTCCATGACCACCTCCTCGGGGATGGAGTTGACCTCCTGGTTCTCGCGCAGAATCACGCCACGCTCAGCCTCAACCTGCACACGAAAGCCCGCACACAACATGTGCAGCAAGCAACAAGTGAGATGCAGTAAGCCAAGTGTGTGCGTGTGCATGTGTGTGTGTGTGTGTGTGCATGTGTGTGCTGTGCTGTGGAGGGGTTCCATATGCCTCATGCGCAAGTTTCACGGGCAGGTGCATCCGGCACACGAGCGTACCTTTCCTGCGTCGTACTTGGCGTTGGTGAGGATATCACCGAGCAGGTCCACGGCAAAGTCCGTGTCGTCGGAGAAGCACCGTGCTGAAGCAATGGTTTGAACAGGCATTAGGGCGACGGCGAGTGTGAGGACACACGTGGTGCAACCAAGCAAGTGAGCGAGTTCTCTCCTTTACACCACCCCACCATCCCACACACACGTGTGCAAACACGCATATTGATGCAGCACACACGCACCCATGTAAACGGTGGATTCTCTGGATGTGTATGCATCGAGGCGCATGCCACGCTGCTCAGCCTGGATGTGTGTGTGTGTGTGTGTGTGTGTGCGTGTGCGTGTGCGTGTGAGGTGGTGTGTGTGTGTGTGTGTGTGTGTGTGTGTGTGTGTGTGTGTGTGTGTGTGTGTGTGTGTGTGTGTGTGTTGCAGATTCACATCCTTCTTCTCACCGCCACCACCGCCACCACTATTGCCAGGACGGTGTATTTTGGGCGGACGGATGCGGTGGTTTCGTATTTCGATTCGCTCGGGGACGCGTTCAAGTGTCCGCCCTACTTCAACCCGGCAGAACACATCCAGCGCCTCGGTACGCCGATGACCATGGTGGTGGTGGTGATGGTGGTTTTTTGTTGAAGCTGTAGTCGTCATTATAGTCATGCTTGTTGTCGTTGATTTGGGCTCACGGTGCTCGCCTCGACCGCGTTGGCACTCACCTCTTACGTGATCACAACCACCGTAACATTCGCCACCATCACATCATACAACGACCTTTGTCACATACATAACTGTCCGTTGTGGCTGCCAGCGTTTGCTTTCCACGGCGGCGAGGGCGGTGGGAAGAGCGATGAGCTCATGATTCGATTTGAGGAGAGCCAGCACAACACCGACCTCATTGCAAACGCAAAGGTGTGGCGCGCGCGCGCGCGCGCGCGCGTGTGTGTGTGTGTGTGTGTGTGTGTGTGTGTGTGTGTGTGTGTGTGTGTGTGTGTGTGTGTGTGTGTGTGTGTGTGTGTGTTCATGTGTGTGTTCATGTGTGTGTGTGTGTGTGCTGGAATGATTGCATGTTGCAGTGCGCTTGTCCATGCGCTCATCACCACCGCCGTTCATCATCAACCCCTCCACATCATCGCCACCACCATTTCCACGATCACAACATGATCATCCCCCTCCCCACACCATCGCCATCACCGACAGCGCCTGGACGCGGCGGCGACGAGGAGAGAATCGCGCATCACAGCAATGGGTGCGACGACCACCGGCTGAGCTGCTGAATAGGAGGAGGGGTGCGGGGGGTAGACAGTGTGTGTTGTGTGTTCTGTCGACTGGTGTGCATGGGCAGGACGTCGTGATGGGAACGCTATCATGCGCGATCGTCTCTCATTCGTGCTGCGTCTCTGTCTTACACTTCATTATTCGCACACACATGCACACACATACACACACATACACACACATGTGAATGACGCGTGTTTCCGCCAGCGAGTGCGAGTGTGCCGCAGCAGTTCTGGTGGCTCTGTTGGCGCAACGCCCGTCTCTTCTACAGAAACAAGCTCAAGACCAAGGTTCTTTTCTGATGCCTGTGGCTGGCTGGCTATGTGCGCTGGCTATGTGCGCTAGCTGTGTGCCCTGGCTATGTGCGCTTGCGTGCGTGTGTGTGTGTGTGTGTTTGCATGTGTTCTCTGTGCTCGCGTGTTTGCATCACTCTTGTGTGTGAGCGTGTATTTGCTTCATATGAACGGGTAGCCGCGTTCCCTCACGCCTCCATCCCGGCCCCCCAACGCCAGGTGAAGCTGATGATCAACATTGTGCTGGGCGTGATCCTGGGCGTCATCTACTTTGACGTACCCAACTCGTACACGGGCATCTCCGACCGCAACTTCTTCATGCTCCAGCTCGCCGTCGTCGTCGGTGCGGCGCCACTGGCCAATTGTGTGTGTGTGTGTGTGTGGGGGGGGGGGTTGGAGTAAGGTGTGGGGGGTGTGGGCGGTGTGAATTTTGATGGGTGTGGTGGATGTGGTGGAAATAAAGCGGGGAGGGAAGAATTGTCGCTGATGTACACGCATAATGTGTTTGTGCACGCGTGGGCGCACACTTATCTTCATTGCTCGACTGTTTAATGCTCACCCTTTCATGTCTGCTGTCGCTGCCACCTCCACCGTGATCATCACCAGGCGTGCGGCAGTCCATGGAGACGCTCTCGTTCTTTCTCCGCGAAAAAGTTGTTTACCTTCGCCAGGTTGAACAAGGTGTGGCGCAAACTTGCATGTGTGCTGTCTGTGTGTGTCGATACGTGTTCTTGTGTTGATACGCAAGCTCGCATCCGTGTGTCCACGTGCCCATGATTTCCCTTCCCATCAGCCTCACCCCATCCCATCACCTCCTCCCCCCCCCGTGTGTGTGTGTGCGTGCGTGTGTGCATAGGCCTGTACGGCGTGTTCCCGTATCTCACGTCGCGCTTCATTGTCGAGCTTCCGCAGATGGTCTTCTTCCCGCTCGTCTTCTGCTCCATCGCCCTCCCTCTCGTCGACCTCAACGTAGGGGATTGTGTGTGTGTGTGTGTGTGTGTGTGTGTGTGTGTGTGTGTGTGTGTGTGTGTGTGTGTGTGTGTGTGTGTGTGTGCATCTGTGTGCGTCTGTGTGTGTGTGCGTGCGTGTGTTCGTTCGTTCGTATGTTTGCTTGCTTGCTTGCTTGTTTGTTTGTATGCATGTGTGCGCGCGCGTGCGTACGTGTGAACCCTCCTTTCCCCACCCAAGCTCTTTGCCTCGGCGTCCTCACGTCAGTGCCCATCACCACCATCACCATCATGCCCACCAGTACGGCGGTGGAAACTTCTTCATCTTCTGGGCGGCGCTGGTCTTCCTCATCCTCAACGCCTACTCGTGAGCACACGATTGCACGTGCTTGGTCGAATGCGCCGCCGCTGCTGCTGCTGCCACTGCTTGCGGTTCGCGTGACTCGTGGCGTCTCTCACACGCAATGTTTTGCTCCTGCACTGAAAACACATCGCACCACCACAACCACAACCACGACCATCATCATGATCGTCCTCATCGCCACGACGCCCATTGTTGTGTTTGCTGGCAGTTTCGGATTGGCCATTGGCACCATCATCACAGATGCACAAATCCTCAGCGTCGTTGCGGTCAGTGTTGCATTTCCGCATGCACACCGGCATGCATGCACATTTGAACTTGCGCGCACACTTTTGCGCGTGTGTATATGATTCATTGTGAATAGCGCGCAGTTGCGCTGTCACTGTCCTGTGCAGCTGACTGTGCCTCTTCAACAGGCACACACGCACGCACGCACGCACAACACACACACACACACACATACACACACGTGCGTGTATGTACATCGTTCATTGTTCAATGTCACGCAGTTGTGTTGTCGCGTCCTTTCACGCATTCATACACTCTCTTGTACGCTCTCACATCATTCTTCCATGTTCTCTTTGACAGCCAATGGTTGTCTTCCCATTCCTCATCTTTTCGTGAGTTGATGCACAACAAGACGCGTTTGTATGTGTGTCGTGTTTGTATGTGCGGGCTTGCTTGCAGGCAGGCAGTGTAACCATGCACTCGCACCTGTACAGTACAGACACTCCCTGTTCCTGCCTCTCTCTTACTCACTCACTCTCGCCTGCAATCACAAACCACGCTCTCTCTCACACGCTCACTTCCGTTGCAACCCCTCCCCTCCCATAATAAATTTTGTTTTGTTGTGTTGTGTTGTGTTGTGTCCAACAGCGGACTGACGGCGGTGAACATTCCGCCCGCGATCAATTGGCTGCAGAACATCATCTACCTCAGGTCAACACCATGGCGATGATGATGATGATGATGGTGGTGATGATGATGATGGTTTGTTTCCGTGTTTTACTTGCCCGCCCCGAGTCTCTGCGTGCACCGCAGCATCACGTTCACCATTGCCCTTGGTATGTGCAGGTACGGGATGCTGGCCATCTTGCAGACGGAATACGAAGGGCAGGAGTTTTATCAAGGGTGCACGCGCGAGCAGTACAGGAACGGATCCGATGTGTGCACCATCGTCTCGGGGGATCAGGTGTGGTGTGGTGTTTGCTTTGTTTGTTTGCTTTGTTTTGTTTGCTTGCTTTGTTTGTTTGTTTGTGTGTGTGTGTGTGTGTGTGTGTGTGTGTGTGTGTGTGTGTGTGTGTGTTTGTGTGTTTGTGTGTGTTTGTCTGTTTGTTTGTTTGTGTTTATTTGTTTTGTTTGTTTGCTGTGTGTTTGTCTGTTTGTCTGCATACGAGCGCGTCCACCAAACCAGTCACTCATCGCTTGCAATTCCCCCTGCCCATAGGTGTTGGAGGAGTTTGACATGAAGTTCATCACTGTTGGCGAAGCGTTTGCCATTATGGCGGGCCTCTTTGTTGTTGCGTTTGGCATTGCCATCTTCTGCCTCACTCGCCTCTCAAGCAAGCGCCAGGGTTAGCCGCATCACGTGTGTATGTGTGTGTGTGTGTGTGTGTGTGTTGTTCACTTGTTGTGTTGTTCGCTTGTTTGTTTTCGAGTTGGCTTTGCGTGCGCGCGTTGCGATTATTCGTTTACAGTTAGAAGAAACATAAAGTCCAACACCAACCAACAACCAACATCAACGCAAAGAAAGACACAAGGCAGGCAAACCAACCAAGTGTATACGGCACATGGAAGACTTGCAAACTTGCACATGTGTGTGCGCCAGACGTGCTTGAGCCAAGCGCACACCACCATTGTTGAAAAAAATAACACGAGAGGGTCAGCATGAGGGGGGTGGAAAGCATGGCACGCACGACGTGACAGAGGTTGGGTGTGATTCAATTGGCAGATAAGACAAAGAAAGGCGAGACTTGTGTGAGCACGCAGTTAAGCCGCCATTAAGTGCACTCAAGAAGAAAGTGGAACGACCAACATCAACATGAAAGAATGCTGTTGGCGATCAAATGATCAAGGCACAGCGTGGCATGTGTTTTGTACAAAGGAAGAAGACCACCACCACTTCTTTCCACGCGCCATCACATCATGGGCGTGTGTTTCAACTGGCATCACCAACACATGAGCACCCGTCATCACCATCACAATGACAGCAGCATCAGTACTGCTGAGTGAGGGTGCTGTCTGTTGTGTCGTCTCGCTCCAGCTCAAAGGTCGGCACGTCCACCAGCAGCGGCGCAGGTCGCGGGTCGCTCGGACCAACGACGGGAACAAATGTGAACGAGCCCCTGGTGGTGTGTGTGTGTGAGAGAGAGCGAGTGTGTGTGCGTAGGTTGTGAGTAAGTGTGTGTGCGTATGTGTGTGTGTGTGTGTGTGTGTGTGTGTGTGTGTGTGTGTGTGTGTGTGAGTGCGTGTGAGTATGTGCATGTGTGTGTGCATGTGTATGTGTGTGTGTGTGTGTTCGAAAGGAGAGCAAGCAGGCAAGGCAACACATCATGATACTTGCACACAATGCAAGGCACCGCACTCGAACAGCACATGACATCACTCCACCACCACCCCCACCTACACCACCTCCACCGCTGCAGTCAGTCGTCTTACCCCATGAGTCCCCTGTCCGTGGCGAGCGAGACGTGTCCCGTGAACTGGAATGTCGGCTCTTCGGGCGTCAAGACGGGGAATTGGCGCAGAATCCCGCGCCCGCGGAAGAAATCGCGATGACCCTATAGTGATGATGATAATGGTGATGATGATGAGGTGATTGATTGGGGGGGGGCGTGTTGGTGCAAACTGCGTGTTGATGCAAACTGCTTGTGCCCGCGGCAAGGAGCGGCTGTGGTTTCGGGGTGGAGACCACAAAAGCAATTGATGAAACCGTGAAGCACTCGCCACCGCGCACCTTTGCGTCGATTGCCTGCCACCACTTTGACATGAGTTGCACAGCGCCGCTTCCAAAGTACTGGATAATCGCCTTGTAGTACCACTGAAGGGAAGGAGGCGAGTGCGCGTGTGCGTGTGCGTGCGTGCGTGTGTGTGTGTAGGTTGTGAGGGAGGGAGTGTGTGTGTGTGTGTGTTGTGAGGGAGTGAGTGTCAGTGAGTGCGTGAGTGAGGGTGAGTGAGTGAGTGTGCGTGTGTGTGTGCGTAGGTTGTGAGTAAGTGTGTGTGTGTGTGTGTGTGTGGGTGGGTTGTGAGTGAGAGAGACACAACTCAATGACACGATGGAAAGCGACGCGAGTGATGGGGGCGAGTAGCATCGTGGGTTGTGGACGTACGGAATATGCCTTGTGCGAGGAGGCGGAGTTGGAGTTGTCGTGGGGGCGCTGTGGACGGCAGACAAAGAAACACGCGCGGATGGGTTGACATGGACGTGTGAGTGGCAAGGAACGGGGAGAAGGGGGCAAGGACAAAAAAAAAAAAAACCAATGTAGGCCCTCACTACACACGCACAAAGAGAGAGAGAGAGTGTGTGTGTGTGTTGGTTGCACTCACCATGGCGTCGAAGAATGGCAAAATAGTGACTTGCACATCGTGTGTGGTGCACGAGTACGAGCGCCTTGGGAGCACGGGCAGCATGTACAAACATGTGAAGGGTGTGAGGAGATCGGAGGAAGTGATGATGATTATACGGCCAAGCAGCAGGCAGCACTTATGCGGAGTACAAATAGGTGCGCACAAACACAGGCGCGCGCACACCCACCGACACACACACACACGCACACACACACCCACACCCACACACATACAAACACACACACACACACACATATACACACATACACACACACACACACGCACACGCGCGCGCAAACAAACAAACAAACAAACAAACACATACATACACACACCTGTTTGCAAAGGATGGGGTCATCATCTTCAGCCACCGCTCGTGTCCGGCTGTTGGCACCGCCGACACCATGCTGCTGTCCACACCGGCAGCACCAGCACCAGCATCAGCACCAGCACTGCTACCACCGCTGCTGTTTCGCTCGCTGAGCGGCTTCACTGCAAACAGCGTGTCAAACAGCGGGTTGTCCAGCACGTGCTCTGCCGAGCTGCCGGGCTGTCGTGTTGGGATGTACGGCATAATTTCGTCGTGCGACACGAGGTCCAGGCTCTGCACCACCCCCTGGTGCGGTGTCCACGTCTGCGTGCCAAGCCCGATGCGCTTGTGCTGCCGCGAGTCCTCGGCGTCGGTCAGGACCTGATAGAAGGTCGACTTGGACGGGCGCGAAGCCTCCACGGGCGTCAGCAGCTTCCTGATGTCGAGGAAGGCGGCGAGGAGGGAGGGGGGGGGGGGGTTGCAAGTTGTGAGCTGTGAGTTGCGAGATGTGAGGTGCGAGATTCAAGTGCGTGGAAGACACAAAAGAAATGAAATGAAGGGAAGGGTGCGAAAGAAAGCAGACGCAGCAGGCACTACAGTCACACATGCGCACAAGTCAGACGCTCACTTCTTCTCTTCGTCCGGCCACGATGATGGAGGATAGTTGTGCAGGATGCTTTCAAAAGGCATGACGACGACGCCTCGGTACCCTGTAAATCAGGCAACATCCACGCATCACATCCACCACGCACGCAACCCGCGGCAGCTGTGAGGGTCCTGCGATCGTCCAAACACACGCGCACACACACACACACGCACACATGCACGCACAGGCGCAGAGCAATCAAAGAAAGACGGCAGTTGTCTGTACCGAGTGAGGAGTGGAGGAAGAACTGTCCTGGGCTGTATGTCATGGTAGAGGGCTGCTTGTTTGTCAGCTTCCCGACCTGCGTCAGCCTACGGTCCAAAAACCAATGCGATCGTGTAAGCAGCAAGAAGCAATGCTTGATGGGAAAGAAGGAAGGACACATGGCTGACATGGTGGTGTCAGAGGTGGCACACACACACACAAAGACACACACACGCACACACACACACACGCGCGCGCAGCAAGCTTACTCGGAGAGCTGTGACATGGCGCGGCGAGCCACGAACAGAGGACGCGGCAACATGACCTGTGTTCCTGTTTGTGTGTGTGTGTGTGCTTCTGGGTCCAGTGCAAGGATGGGGAGGTGATGTGATGCGTTGAGTCTTGTGGCTGTATGAGATTGACTGTGAGGTCGGCGAGTGCTGGGTGAATGCCGGTTGCTTTTGCGCATCAATGATGTGGTTGGTGGCAGGAGTAACAATCGAATCGGATGTCGTTGCTGGTGCGGTTGTTGTTGTTGTTGTGGACGGACAGCTAACAATTTCACACGCAGTGGTAAATTACCATTTGCCACACACAGTCGTGTGTGTGTGTGTGTGTGTGTGTGTGTGTGTGTGTGTGTGTGTGTGTGTGTGTGTGTGTGTGTGTGTGTGTGTGTGTGTGTGTGTGTGTGTGTGTGTGTGTGTGTGTGTGTGTGTGTGTGT